AACCATTTCAGCTCACATTCTCCAGCAATTTGAAAACGCATGCTTATTTACTGACGTTGCAGTGGAAAACGTGATTTAAAAGAAGATTTTTTCTTATAAAAACTATATTTGTAACGCAAGTAACACAATTACATTGACTTAAGTAACTGTATTTAAACTACACAAATTAAAAATGTAATTTGTTACATTACTGTGTTCCCCAAAAATGTAATTAGAACACAGTAATGCATTACTGTGGAACGCCTTACACCCAACTCTGCCAATCAGCCAATACTACATTGCCCAGAATTCAACAGCTTCACTTTTCCTGATTAAACCTGAGGTGGGATTTCCATTATGAGTCAGGCACTTACAGCACGTTCCCCGGTGAGCGATTTCTCCATCACCATATGCTCATGCACTTTAAAACCTGTGAGTCAAATATAGAAAGTAATCCTCCCCAACAGTAAAAAAAAAAATGAGGTAAGCGCATCCGCCATGTTCCTTGTTCCATTATGCTAGGTGCCTATGCTCACCGCATTAAGTAAATAGCTGATTCCAACAACCGGTTCAAGAAATGTGTGGTTAAATTACTGGAGAACGGAGCCATATGACATATTGAATTGGATATGCAGCGTCACCATCCATACCGCAGTAATCATGTATTGGTTTACAGAGCATTTACCCCATAAATGACTCCGTTTTCATCTCAGAGAACATGAGAGCTGACAGTAAGCGAGCGGATAGTCATCTGATCGTGAAGAATGAAGCGCAGAAAAATAGCACCGATGGAGGGAAAGTTAAAGTGGAGGTTGAGGTACAGGGGCGCACAAGAATTGAAGGCTTAAAACAAACACCGGCGGAGAGACCGCAGAGAGTCAGCGAGATGGTACTCTGAAACAGAGATCACTGCCAAGATAAAAAGAAAATAATAAGAGGTGCAGGGTAGCCTGAAATGGAGAGAGGGAGAGCGAGTTGGACTGATAGTGCTGAACCATTACGGCTAGTGGCTGCTTTACAGCCCTGAGCTCTATGAATGATGGGAAGCTTAGGCAGAGAAGTGTATATAACTCAAACACGACATCTGAGAACAGAGAACAATGCACATTACATCTCAACAGCCCAATTCCTCTATGTGACACACCTCATAATGGCTCGTATATCTGGGCCTCTTGCTGCAATGGTGAGGGAAAAGCTACGAAATGTTGGAGAAAAGGCACAACAGGTGCTTGGATCCTGTGCTGGAACATGTTAAAAGAGAGTAGACAAAGAATTCTGGGAAAATGTTAGAGACTAACAAGTGTTCTACAACAAAGAATAAGCATGCGGACAAAGAGAAGATGTGGAGGTAAAGAGAGTTTGAGTAGTCGCTTCTCTCAACTTAGATTTCTGTGAAGTGTTTAATGTTTGGAGAGCTCTGCCAAAAACAATGACTTTCTTCTTCGCTGAAGCTCCGTCCTGCAGAGAACTGACAGAGACGTCGGGAGTGAGGAATGAATGAATCAATGAACACTGGCAGAAATTAAAATGACAGAGAGTTATGAATTTCTGAAGCAAACCTGGCAATACAGGAAATGTTCTGACTGAAAAAACTGAAAGAGAGGCTGCTGTGCAAGCAGTTGCTGTGGTTATAGCTGCGGTATATTACCTGCCATGATGCCGGCATCCCGCAACACTAACTATAATGCACAATAGCACCCTGGTAGCTCACACACAACAGACTTTGTGTTCAGCTTCTACAGCATAAACAATCCCCACACTGCAGGCAATACAAATTAACCCAAAAACAGGAGAAATGCCTTCCATCGAAGGCAAAAGAGCTCTATTGTATCCCAGTCAGCCTCCATCAAGGCTCATTTTCCAGACAGAGCCAAGATTTCAGCAACACAATAAAAAGAAGGTCTGCTTTTTCTGACAAAAATGTCTGTACTTGAAAGCAAGGACGGAAAAGAATGGTGCTCAATTGTATCTCAATCAGTGTTTCTAATCGCAATAGGCTGTCTGCTGACAAGTCATGAACAAGAGAATTCAGGCTATATGTTCATCGCTTGATGTCTATAAAATTGTGAGTGATGTCATTGAGGCACAACAAGACTGTAAACAAACAATAGCATTGAGGCTGCTGCTTTTTTAATCATAAAAACTTTGTGAAGACAGAAGTATCGCTGTTATATCTACACAAACTATCTTCCATTTCATAATTCCAACTTGTTGATGATCGTTTTTTTCTTATTGCTATGTGTGTGGAAAAGCTTCTGTGCTAATATTGATCAGTGTCATAACCTGCTTTTCCACTGCACTGTACATTATGGTTCTGCATGGCTCGGTTGGCTTTAGTTCAACATTGCTCAGGTTGGTTTGTATTTCTATTGCAGTTTAGTACTGTTGAAAGTGGGGTTTATCGCTATAGTTGTACTGGCTATACTCCCCTAACTTTCTGCGAAAACATTTTCATTCCATGTGACCGGGTCATCCCCACCCAGCTCTCACTAAGGCCCAATCCCAATTCTATTTTTGTACCCCTACCCCTTCCCCTTGGCCCTTACAACCGAGGGTTAAGGGGAAGGGCTTCCAAATTCAGGGACAGCACTACAGCACCTGCACACGTCATCATATGTCATCACGATCTCTTGCTTAATATGAGATCACCGATCACGACTGCTGTTGTTATTCCAGTTGTGCTATTTTTTTGGTATTTATCTTCCAGAAATCACTGAAGGCATATACTATGTTATCATAAGGATCTAATGTGGCAATAAGATCGTAACTGTACTGTGTATTTACGCAGTGGCCATATTCATCTAAATACACCAAATACAACATTAACATTATAGCAGACACTGTAAAAAACTCATTCTCAGCCACTAGATTTTTCTGACAGGGGATTCGAGTGTCATCGAGTGTGAGAATGTTGTGGGACTGCTGTACAGGAGTTATGATTATGGATTATAGATTGTGAAATTTTGCCTTTTTTATTTATTTATTTTTTTAAGCATGCCGGTAAAACACGAACGCCAGTATGAATATGTTAAAACGTGTTTGTTTGTTGTAAAAATTCTTCTATTCTATTGACAAAAAATACTAATTTGTGGATCTCCTTACTTCCGGGTTGAGCAATACTGCCGTTGTGGCTGGTGTTTTCTGGGAAATTTTCTTACTCTTTGGTTTTAAGTGTGGTTCTGAAAAATCTTTGTTCGAATGACTATTCACCCCTCCCCTTAGCCCTACGCCTTCAAGCATAAGAGAATTGTGATGTCCTTACCCCTTGAAGTGAACGTGCAAACTGAGGGGTAGGGGTAAGGGCAAGGGCTAAGGGTTAGAATTGGGATCGAGCCTAATTCTGGTGCTTGGTTTCTAATGAGAGGAATACCTTGACCTCTTCTGACTAAAATTTTTACTGACTGCCATTTCAGGTCTCTTCATGTGTCTTCTTGAGGTGGTATAAATGTGACTTATTCATGCAAACCAACAGTGAATGCTGATAAATATTTAAATATAGCAAGTTTGGAATCTTCTGTCGCAAATCCAATTATGCTAGTAGTGACAATTCACTGCTAAAGATCTGAAAAGTTTTTTTTTAAGTGTCCCAATGCTGTGTAGGTTGTTGTGATGAAATAAAATAACTAATTATTAAAATTTTAACTGATTATTATTGATAAAATAACTGATTATTGTATGACGAAGCCTATTGTTTAATTATGAATCACCATAACAACACAACCTCGCATTGATCACTCTAAAATTTTGCTCAACGCAGTGTTAGAGATATTAGTTAAGGCAATGAATTCATTAATTCTTCTTTGGAAACACCCATACATTCTCACATTCACACACTCATACACTACGGACAATTTAGTTTATTCAATTCACCTATAGTACGTTTCTTTGGTGGGGGAAACCGGAGCACCTGAAGTAAACCCATGTGAACGGGGAGAACATGCAAACTCCACACAGAAATGGCAGCTGGGAATCTCCCACAAAGTTCAGTCTTGCATCCTTTCCCTGTAGTTTAGACTTTGCAAGTTTGATATGGAAAACAAACTCCCGAGGATACGTCGGGTAAATTTTCAAAGGGAACAGTTTAGTTTATAACATCATTCACATGATCCTGGCTATACTGTTTCAATATCTTAACAGTCAAATGAAAATGTGATCTAAAAAACCAAAGTCGGGAAATGTCGTTAGATATAGACAAGATTAATTATATAAATTTAAATATCACGTTTAATAAATATAGTGAGATTAGATCCAGCGGTAGATTCTTGATGAACAGTCCGACGTGCACAGCTCTCACCTGGGGAGCTGTGCTCAAAGCACCCGCTGACTGCCTGGAGCTCAGACGCGAGCATACGCTGCAGTGCATGCCAGAGTGTGTGTGTGGTCAGGTGATGTGTGTTTTCAGTGGTGTAGTGTGGTTGGAGGGCTGTTCAGAAACAATAGGTGAAACAGCAGTGTGGACATGGATCATTTTCATTGTAAAAGGCTGTTTTAAAACTAAAATGTATCAGTGAATATGTGTGGGAAGCACTGCTGTGGAAACCTTTTGACTATAGATTTTTATTTTTCTCTGTGATTATTTTTACATTTACGTATTTTTCATCAAACACTGCCTTATATATTATATCATGTATTTTGGGGTTCTTTAACATCTAAAGATGCTTTATCTACTGTAATGACAGTGAGCTGTGTTTTGTCTGTCAGACAGATAAAGCACCACAACTAAAGCCATAGACATTCAGACAGATGTCTTTGGTGGTTGCATCAAGTTTAGTACTGTGTTCTGAGCATCCTGCCACAAAATTGACATTTTAAGACGGCGTGTCAATTTAAAAATAGTTTGCCTTTTCAAAGATTTGCTTCTTGAGGCACTTGCGCTCTGTTCCGTCTGTCTATTTTTGAACTCAGGTTTGTCTCTTATGTAAACACTTCTTGAGAAACTTGTCTGATCAGGTGAACCTGAACTGAGACTCCATATATACAGCACTTTCTTGATTAAAAATGTCACAACAGGACGGGCTTACCATCGTCCCATCTGCCGTCAGGGTCAGCGGTCCCGTTGGGGTCATCGTCAGGGGCCACGCTGTCACAGTCAGCCCCGTCCAGGAGACTCCCTTCCTCCTCCACAATGTGAAGCTTATCTTCATCATCGGAGTCTGACTGGCCCTCCAGCACATGACTGTAGTTACTCACTGCAGACAGAGAAAACACAACACTTAAGGAGAATGCTAACATATGGAGCTTGAAAACCACAGAAGGGTTGATGAAACCCTCAAGATTCAGAAAAGATGCTGTTTGCGAAAACGACTACAAGATAGAGGCAGACATGATTAAAGAGAGACACAGCAGCTCAGATGAAACCAATTGTTAAAGCGGGAGAGATGACTGAAGAGACGCAGAGAGATGAAGTGCGCTTGAGGGAATAATTCAATTAAATGCCAAATAGTAGTGGAGCAGTTCCTGTGTCTTTCAGGGAGCCAGAGAAACAAGACAAAGAATCACTCCAGATTGAATCAATAAATCAGAATGGCTCGTGTTAAAGCCATTCATGGCCAAACGGTCCTGCAATGTGGAAACAGTCACATATTATCAGATCATCTCCATCGTGAAATGATGACTCTGGTTCTGTAATGGTGAAATAATTTACCAGATAAAACTTAAAAAGGGTTATGCAGTTTATTGGTTAACATTATTTGTCGCTGTAGGGAAATTTAATTTGAAGCATTCACTCACCGAGACATCTGACATTTCACATTTGGCATTTATGTAAATAAATCATATAAAACACGGTACAACTACTCTAAATAAATCCAGTCTATTGGCCATCAACTGCTACTAAGAGGAGGAATTTAAAAAGTTAATTGCTTGAGGTATTCATGATCATTGTATCCTATTTCTTACACATCTGGTAACACAATATCTACAACCTGATGATAACAATTGGAAAGTGTATAATAAAGGGTGTCTCTTATCATTGACAATCATGATAGTCTTATTTACTACTCTTCCTTTGTATAAACTATCAATGCTTTTTAGTTTTATTCCCAACAACTTACTGGCTGTTGTTACCACCTTCCCCAGTGACCTCTCTGGGCTCACACAAAAGATTGCAATATATTTGATAAAAGCACTATAAAACATGATCAACTATGTGTTGTCAAAATTAAAAGACAATAGTTGCTTTAGGAAGTACAATGCTGAAGCTTTTTTTCTTATACAGACCGTCCATACATCCCTCTTAGGTTTATCTTCCAACATCACACCCAAATAATTATAATTTGTTACGAACTAAATTTGCTCCTCAACTAATTAATGTGGGAGGAGATTTGCTTTGTGCTCTCTCTCTCTAAAATCAATAACCATCCTCAGATTTAGGAATATTTCGGAGAAGGTTTGAATTTTCACACCAGTCTAAAAAGAAGTCAAGCCTGTGTTCTTCCTTCACCTAAGCGGTATCATCTGTATCCGTTACAATATCTATTTTTAAATTACCTCACACATGAATTTGTATATAAAATGAATAATAACGGAGATAAAACACAACCCTGGGCAGCTCAAACAAGCACATATTTTATCTTAAATGAAACCTCTCATTTGAACCTGTTGGATTCTGGAGATTATAGAATCTAGAAATTATATATGTGCAACTGAAAAAAAAACTTTTGTAACGATTAAATGCCTCTTTAGTTTTTTGACAAAGAGGAGGGACTGTTTGACCTCCATTTCAGCAGAGAGAGAGGGATCGAGCTGAAACGCATTGATTTTCTGTAACAGGCCAGACGGCCTTAATTAGTAATGTGTGTGTTTGCATGCTAGGCTAAGTGTGATTTGACATTCTATTAAAACAGCGGATGACGGAGTGGTAAGCTCGCCCAACAGGTTCTCATTCGTTATAGGTAAGTGCTGGCAGGACAAGGCCTCTAATGGAGCATCCATAAATCAAACGCAATGTTCAGATTTATATATCGATCAAAAAAAGGAACCCGTTACAAATCCTTTTAAACTTCAAGTTTGTCACTATTGTTTGTGACTGACTTTGTCGATATCATCCTTGGATGTGTACAGGCCTTAACTCATTTGAAAACTCTCATTTACTCACCCTCATATTGATCATTCTTAACAAAAAAAAACAAAGATTTTATTTTAAATGCCTGCTTTTTTCCATTCAATGAAAGTCAGTGGTGTCCAAAACAATTTAAGTCAGAGGGGCTCAATGATGTTTTGGACTAAAACCATTGAATATTTGTTCAAATGTCTTTTTTATACCCCATAGAAGACCATAAATCAAACTTTGACTATAGATATTTTCAATGTGGTGATGTAATTGGCTCATGAACATTTCCTGCTTGTTGTTAAACTGTTTTATATCTGTAACAAGAGGCAATTCAATCATAACTTGATGTTATAACAGCTATTATAACATTATTTATCATTACATGGTACTTTTTAAGTCTCAGAAGCTATGGAAATTTAAAATGTAAAACAGGAAATACATCAGGGTCATTGTTATTGTTTACATCATCTATATTTTTGGCCGAATTGATCCTTTATATGGTATTTTCCAATACAGAGAATCACATGAACTGAAAATAACGCCTAAGACAACAGTGATTATTGCCGTAATATGTGTGAACTATTTTGATCGTGCACAGTTGGTGTACATTTCACAGGGAAAGATAGGTGTACCAGAAATCCTTCCTCTCCGTCCTCCTCCTCTCTTCATTTCTCTCACTGCTCTAGCTCTCCGTCATTCTTCTTTTCCACTCATCTAAGTACCTCTCTCTGGCCAAATCAATTTTCCTTTGAGAGGAGCAAAGTCAGCACAGGGGCTGGCCGTAGACACACACACACACACACACACACACACACACACACACACACACACACACACACACACACACACACACACACACACACACACCATATCTCTTCTGCTGGGCTTATCTGGCACATTTACATTCAGCTGATTTTGTGCTTTTTGTTGCACTCTTTAACCAACCCTCTCTCTCTCTCTTTCTCTCTTGCTCGCTCACTCTCACACTCAATCTTCTTTTATTTTTCTGGCCTGTACTTTCATTCTCCACCTGTGCAGGGCATGTGCAAACCTCTTAACCTCTTTGTTTCTTTCTATCTCGCACTTCATCTTCAGCTTTAAGGTCATGGATCAGACCAAAAACCTGTGGTGCTTCTAAAGCTGAGAGTCACTGGCTGTAAAAATGGCGCCTGTAACAAAATGGGGAAAAAAATCATGCGATCGTAAAGAGAGTCCCATCGCTCACTAGCCACAAGTTCTGTCAAACCTATCCGAGTGATGCACGGATCGCCACAACAGTCAATTCGGTGTACTGTGAAGGAGATGCTACCAATCCCATCAGGCTGTTCAGCCAAGGGAAGCAAACGGTGTGGCTAGTCAGCAGAAGACGGAAGTAAAGGGACAGTGGAGAGTGTGTGTGTGTGAGCTCACTGCGAATGATCCATGACAAACAGCCACGAGCCTTGTTCCGCCGTTCCACATGAGAAATTTCATTACAGCCTTCAGGAGGTACACACAGGAAAAGTGACTAAACAAACGCTTTACAGAGAAAGGAATAGCTCACATTATGCAGGAGCCGTAAACTGAAACTGTGTAAAGGCACAGGAAGAACAAACTGTTAAATAAAAGACGCGTAGGAGACCGGATAAAACATTCAACATTGACACCTTTAAATAGAAATGTTACTGTACAAAAAACAAATATGCTACTCATATTTTTATTTAGGTTTTTTGGTCAGAAATCAGAAGATTGATGCTGTAGTTGTTTAATAAATCTAGATAATGTTGTGGTTAACGTCTTTTTCTCTCTATTATTTATTTTATCTCCCCTGTGACTTTTTCAACTATTTAAAAAAAACTATATAAATAAATATAAATATAACATTAATCACGGTATTTGCTGGCTCTTACAAAGTCTTAAATCTAAAAAGCAAATTTTTTTTTTAAATCTACTGAAATGTGTTGTAGTATAATGTATAATGTTGTCTTAAATATTTTTAATCTTAATTTTTCTTTGTTCATCTATCTGGCCATTAACAACAAACAATCCATCTCAATAAAACTTTTTTAAAATATCCTTTAATTACTTTCCTTACAATAACATTTGCTTAAAAGTTCTCCATTCATTTAATGCTATAGGGATACTGACCTGATCTATATTTTTTATTAATAAATTATTATTATTATTATTATTATTTTTATTATTATTATTGTAGACTGAAGTAATTGACAATTATGTTTTGTTCTACACTGTAATAATTATATGATCAATTAGTCATGACAACATATTTTGTTAGTTCATTGTAACTTATAATTCTTGTTCTAACTTAATTTAAATTAAACAAACTGTTTTAGGTTAGTTTAACATAATATAAGTTCAATGGAGTCATAAGGTTAATTCGATGCAGCTTAAAAATTTAAGGCAACCAGGATTTTTTTTACAGCGTATTCTTGGTAAGGGTTATAGGGTGTGTGAATGGATTTTTTTTATAAATACAAAAAATATTCAAAACAAAATTATTATTATTAAATGTATTAAAATTTAACACTTTTTACAGGGCAAGTGAAAATGTTGTCTAACTAGGATATTCGAAAAGAATCATTAGCATTTAGCCCTGTATAAGTCTAAAATTGCATTCATGATGGTCTTAAAGTCTTAAATATTACTTTGTGAAACCTGCAGAAACCCTGATTAATGCAGAAATTGAATATTTCACATATTTATAATAAAAAATTTTAATAATTTCAATAATTTGGGCCACATGTTAAATATTAAGATTGCTTTCTCACACAGTCCATTAAAATTAATGTTTTATTTAGTAAGCATGGATTGAATTGAACTTGAAGGTAAAGCCATTAGTCTTGTTTGAAATATTTTATTTTTAATAATAAATTTTTAATTCCTGTTCATTGGAATTGGAAAAAAAAAGATTCTACAAAATAGTTTTTAGCACAACCATGTTAAACACTGATAAGAAATGCTACCAGAATACCAAAATAATTGACTACATTTACATGGACATCAGTAATCAAATTATTTTAGTATTTTATTTTTATGAATGAAATTTGATATCGCACACTATATGAATGAAAAACCTCTGCATTTCGCTATGCAGCTGTGTGTGATCCTTTACTGCCTCGGTAGGTGAGGGGAATAATG